CACAAATTTAGGTTGGATCTGTGACCAAATGCTAGCCGTCGTTGGTACAGGGTTATTACGGAACTCTGATTAATTGCTTTCAGGGAGCCCCATAAATAAAAAAACACCTCGTTTTCCCTTTGGTGTGATTGTAGTATATTTTTCTATGACCAGTTTATTGCGGAAATGCATCCAGTGTCGATTGACCAACTAGAAAATGGACAGTGGTTAAATGCCCGTTACGCTTCTCGTTCGTTGTCAGGAATCTGGTGAGTTTGTTTGAGACGTAAATGTGATAGTTCACATATACTTTATTGAAAGTTCTACGATTAATCACTGGTTCATAAAGTTATTTACCATCGAGTTCAGCGGGGTACCATCTAAATAAATCATATTCTAACTACACTGTGTAATGCAATACATGTGAACGAAAGTGAAGATTCGGAAATTAATTTATTTTTTATTTATATCCGATGTCCCAATATGTTTCCTCATACATTTATATTAATGAACATATGGTTTGCTCATATAAGTGAACAACGATCACAGATAGTAGACTATTGCTTTCCGTTATGCAATAAAGTCTGCGTTACGTGAAATCATCATATTCACCCGAAATTGCCTGATTAGAATTACCCACATCCATGTTTCTCTAATGAAAAAAATATTATACTAAATAAGATTTCAGAGCTGTTTCAGAGCTGATATCAAATGCTTAACCCGTTCAATCATGCACTCGGACCTACAATTCGAAAACCGGGTTTACTGTGGTTGTTGCAATAATCAGAAATAGACAAAGATCGCGTGTTCAGATGAATTATTTTGTTTAAATAATTCAAATCTGCTATACGGAGTTTACGCGCTGCCCACAATTTTTTGTATTGCCATTCATAATCAATAATCAAAACATTCAGTGTATAAGTTTCTTTCACTCTGTTACAAATAAAATAATACAACATTTAGCACCGATATCCAAGATTTGCGAGTCAAAGAGCAACTAGTAACGTTCATACATTAGGCCTAAAATAATACTGGTAGAGAAGCGTTTTGGTTTTATTGATGGAACAAATATTTCCCTGAATTTGGATCAAATATCCATGATTTGTCACAGCGTCAAACAGATGGGTCTTTTAGTAGTGCCTACATAATTATGTGAACAGCTTTTCGGTGATCGCTTTGCCGCTATTCAGCTCTTGTATTCAACATTGCTTGTCCTAAATGGCGGTGTGCTGCTTGCAATTTTGTTCTAGTAAGGCCGTTATTCAGGAAGTGTATATTTATTTAACTTATTGAACGAGGTACCGGATTCACTGACTACCTTGAAGGACACTGTTTGCCTCGCTTATCGCAACATGTGCACACAAGGAGCGCTAGTATCGTTTCAAATTTTCATCAAAACCATGCGCGAATAAACAACATGAGAAAACTCACTTTATGTTCGATCTTTACGATTCTAGATGCCAAGCTTTGATGAGAATCGTATACGTCATCTGCTTTGCTTCCTGGTCTCCCCAGGATTTGATCTAGTCTGAAACGCAGAAAAAATATTCACAGTAATTATTGTTTAGGAAACCAAATATACCGAATATGTGCGTGACACATATGCATATACACAAGTGATATGACCAAATTGACTAAGTGGTTCTCAGTTTATAACCCACTTAGAAGTAGTGACATTTTCTGCATTTTCGGGAGCTGAAAATCAACCCATTAGGATGAACAAAGCAAATTTTAACTTCACTTGACATATATACTCCCACCCGGAAAAACACGTGTGATACAATTATCACGGAATAATGCCTTTAAACAGAAAAACAGCATAGTATTTGCTGTTATAAATGTAAATTATTTTTATTATCACTGAAACCCCTTCAAATTTAAAAACTGTAAAAAATGTAGTGTCGTACGTCAACAAAAATACCGGAAAAAAGATGAAGACTGGAGCCTAAGAACTAACACAAAAACAAACTACATATAGGTTAAATATAGTGTACATTACGGAATCAGCAAACGTTTGTATACTTAATTGCTCACTGTGATATGACCGAATAGCGAGTGATACTGTGGATAGCCAGGATCCTCAGAAAGTCAAATAAGTGTACAAAGGGGCTGAGCCCCTAAAAGAATTTTGATGCAAAGGTTTCGCATGTGGTACTGTAAACTATCAGAGGTTATTGAACAATTCTCCAAAAAAGCGAAAGATGCGTGGTTGATAATGAGTAATTGAGCAACTAAACCCATGTGAAATCTTCTGTTGAACAACTGGACTAACCAAAGCTAGGGGCGCTGGAATCTTGATAGTAAAATGTACAATGGCAATAAACGATGTTCACCGTGAAGTAATGAATATTCAATTTATCTGCATCCGCAAATCCCACACCGGATAGAACGTGGGGGAACCGGAAGACTTTGGTGGTATTAGTGGCCTCATGTTATTTGCGGGAGATGACCGGGGAAAATAATTCCAAAACAACCGATCTACAGGCGGATGGAAAAGATTTCGCAAAAGTGAAACCTGCGTTCAGACCATTTAGTTGGATCGAGATTCCTTCAGAAACCAGATAGATTGCTTTTTATAATGAAAAGCCTGTTTAGAAAGTTGAACCGGTTAGTTTAAAATAAGTTTGATTCAATACCGCATCCCCACATGTTTAAAGTGTTTGGGAGTTGTACTGTATAAGCAAACGTATATATTTAAATCTGTATGTGTATACTTGCGTAATAGTTTTAGGGATGGTTTGCAGCCATCATATTTTCGAGGGTGAATGAAATAGTTAATCAGATCAAAGTTGATCCCATTGAGGAGTGTTTAGACTAAACATCTTATTCCTAATGCACACATCTTTTAGAAAAATACGAATGTTGCAAGTAAAGATCCGAAACAACAGAAGTAACATAAAATTCCTGATATTGACAGTTTGACCGGATTATTGAATGTACTATAGGTTTTTGAGCTATAGTCTGCCCTGAGGTTTTACTTATTCCAACTTTTTCCTGCCACCTCTTTCGGATAGCAACTTGCCTTTAACGTAATGTGAAAGCCCTACCGTCAGCTTGTAATAAATTTATTTAATCTTTTCTTTTCATATTAGTCTGGTTGTTAGATTTTCAGCGAATCTTTCACTTCACACTCTGTGCTCTCCGGAATTTTATTGGCCCACTGCGAATACATGCATGAGGAAATCTAAAGTGAATAGCCTTGGATAGATGTTTCCGCTTAACACGGTTGAGAAAACTTGCATAAAGACATGATACATTAGTATAAATGTAAAACTATAGAATGAGAAACTCGAAAAGCTACATAGCTGATGTACCATCATAGCAAATTTATCCACCCGTGTTTTGTCGTTAAACATCAGAACATCAGAACAGGACTTCTAGTAAATAACACCTAGTCTGATTCCATATTAAACGCGATGGTTGTAGCGAACAAGTTCGTTTTCGACAGCTTATTTTTCCATATTAACTTGATGTAGAGCAGCAAACGAAACTAATTCTCGTAAATAGACGCAACTTTTGTTACCTGTCTAGCGGAAAAAATGTGCAAAGTTACGGATCAGGAAGTAGGCGAAACTGCTACCAGAATAATTTTATAGCAAAGGCTTTTACCTCTTAATGTTTGATCAACGACCCTGCATTCAGAGTTTGTTTTGCTGAGGTATGCAATGAAATTGTGCTGGGCATCTATGAGCGTAAGTGACATATCTGAACTCATCAATGGTGCAGCACCGTTCGAAGCGAGAGCATTAAGTAAATCGTGATCCATTGTTTGACGGTACATGCATTTTACATAGAGTAGTAAGAATAAAAATCAGTTCATTAGTTTAGTCCTTCTCTAACAATGGGCTCTCCTCCTTCACCTTTCCTGTGACTAGGAGTTCATGAGAATTTTTCCTAAATACAATAGGTATTCACCAACACGTGAAAAAAATTACGGGATATTGTGATAGTCCAGCAGTTCGTTTGTTTTTTCAAAACATATCATAATCGATTCCTACAGTCAGCAAAGCTGTTCAAGGTTGAAAAAGCCATCCAATGATCATTCTTATGAAATGCGTTCTTATACAATGGCGTTTACGGAAACCTGGAATTTGTATTCAGTGCTCTTCAACTATTCCTATTTTTTAATACACTGATTGTTTACCTATAATATTTTGCACGAACACGTGGGATATTCAACCCCCCACGCGCCTATGCTTCTCTTTCCTTTTGCCTATGCCCTTAATGGCTCTTAATTACACCTAAACATAAGGGTTGTTTTATCCTCCATAAACATTGCGAGTCCTTGGATAAATCAATCACGGACGGAATGTTTTGTATTTATCAACTCAGTCCTCTGTAAATATACATCACATTTACTCCCCAGTTTTCGCATTACATCATTTCTTTATGCTCTGGAAAACTCAGTGCAGTTGCGGAGGCATTTGAGCGAAAAGCCCGTGTGGTGCTCATCTTCATTTCATTGACAGCCGTGCCGGAATGAGCTGGAGGATGAGTAGGACGGGGGGGGGGGG